AAATTACACATCCTTCTTAGGTACAGTACTGTCCTCGCGATAGGGCAACACAAAGTGCTCTTGTCTATGCGTGGTATATCACACAAGCAACCTGACATCAAGGCATTGAGTTAGACTCAGTACCTCTCTCCACGGCCTGCGGCATTGCGAGACTCGGGGAGAAAAGCTTTAGAGCCTGCTGGGGCCAATAAAGCGACTTGATACTACGTGGTAGATAGTGTTGACAGAAATAATGAATGCTTTACTGAAGCCTGCAAATGTTGCACACGAGAACATCGGTTCCCGCAGCCATGACCACCCTACAACTCTCCTTGTCTTACGTATTAACTTTAGCAAGTGAATTAGCATCCACGAACTTACCTGGACTGGCAAAATATCACCCAACGATGTCGTGAGCATAAAACTGAGGTTTCCCTGGTGTTGTATAAGCAGATGTTATTAATCATTACCAGAAAACAGCCTTACAGCAGGATTTATAAACGAACCTTGGGCTCAGATGCTTGGCCAATCACGGCATATCTGGCTAGAATTATTAACTCCACCGTAACGGGATGCGTTTACTCACCGTGGTGCATTCGGAAAAGCCCCTGAACCCCTGGTCTTTCGTGCAGTTGCAGGTCTTGCCATCTAATCGGTCGAGGGTTTCCAGTTTTGAGTCAACGTAACCAACCAGAGGCATCTCTATTGGTCTCTGAGCGATATTGATTTAACCGGCTATCGAGATCGCCTCCTCATTTGTTGTTACACCGCATAAGTTGCATGCTTTTTGACATGGAATTGAATACATTTGATTATATTATTCTTCTTCAGTTGCTTTGATCCAAGCATTTTGTGATGGAGTCTAAATGGTGAGGTTCAAGGCCTACCAATGACCTCTCATGAGTTAAAGCACCTTCTTTGAAATCTGGCTAAACATAATTCGGTGTATCATGTTTGTGGTAACTGCTGGCCTGATTTCCTTTCACGCATCAGTTTTGGTCGTTAAAATAGGTTCAGATCTGACACATTTCCAAACCGTTAGATTTAATTGTTCACGTCTCGCCTGGTTGGTAAGGCAAAAGTCTGTGGAAATTATAAATTCACGAATAGTTCTCAAGGAATCCATCAGGTTTTCACATCTCCTCTCTAAATAAAGAAATCCTGGTGGAAAATATCCTCGTTGTTTTGAAGGTTCGAAGTTACTTGAGGCTAGCTTTTTTCAATTTTTCGTGAGCAAAAACATGATGCTGTACGGAGGTGGCCTAGCAACGGCAAAATTCTTCCTTGGGGATGATTCGATTGTTTACTTTGCCGAGATGGAATCCATCTGGACCACCGAAAGGCACCGCTCTGTGTGTGAGCTCGTCTTACATCGAAGAAGTCTCCTGCTCTCTCTCTCTCGGTTGCAGCCTCACAGTGTGTAGTACACACACACACGCACGCACGCACGAAGTTTTGTGGCCGGTAATGAGAACACAACGGCGGAGATAAAAAAAAGAGAACAGAAGCAAATGAAATTTTAACTCATCTTGTGAGGCTCTGTGAACTTTCTTGAAGGGTGGGGGCTGGGGGATTAAATTATTGGGCCTCGGTAGATTCATTAAACACGTGTTACCAACTGCGCATGGGACTTGATGCTGAAGCATTCGCATTATGCATAAAGACGACTTTTAAATTCAGGCCGCCCCGTTTCAACTCCTTAATTCCAGCATGAGCAAGCATCTAGCCTCTTCAAGTTTTTGCTAATCATATAATCATGGGGAGCTACAGGATCACCCCGCCAACTCTATTAATTTAATTCAATTTAATTTGAATCTCCTAATTGTATATTACCAAAAAATGCCTGATAGGTTATTCACGACGTGACCAACCTTCGTTGCATTGTCTTTAGGTCCAAATTCTGTCCAGCGACGGAGGGGCCGTCAAACCTACAGCCGTTTTCAGACACTTGAGCTTGAGAAGGAATTTCAGTATAGCCACTACCTCACACGGCGACGTCGGATAGAGATTGCTCACAGTCTCTGTTTAACTGAGCGCCAAATCAAGATCTGGTTCCAAAATCGTCGAATGAAATTGAAGAAGGAGAGACAGCAGATCAAAGACTTAAATGAGGAAATGAATCGGCGAATGATGAGCGAGGGTCATAAACACCCCAAAATCCCGTCCTCCCACCCACAACCCCCTCCGTCTTACATCCCACAAATTATCGATTCAGGGCCATCATCCTTCCCGCACTTTTTGCCACACCGCACACTGCCCCATCCCATGAACCTCCATCCACCAACCTCCGCGTCAAACGAGGACTTTCCGGAGGTTGAACATGCCAGTTGATGGCAATGAGAGTTCTGGTTGTGATCGACTGATCTCTTTTTAAAGCAGCGAAAACAAAAGCTCCACCTATTTTTAAATGAAGACATTGACGTTAAACTATGTTTACTTAGTTATTTTAAGTAGTAAACGTATTCACAAAGTAATGAGTGGGAATATTAAAGCATACAAAGTATATATAATCCTGTAACATAAAGCCGTACTTAACCCCCTGAGGAAATCAACGTATTCACCAACCATACAGATGCTTAGGCCTATCCTGCAGGATGGTTGTAGGCTAAATTAGCAAGTCGAATGCCGAGGTTAGCGAAGTTCCCAAAGTGAGTGCAGCGTAACTGACATGAGGCATTCTGGTCAGGTGGAATCCTATTCGAGCTGCCGTGTTTTAAAATATGGTTAAAGAAAAAGCATTTTGCTACGACCTTTTTTACTCATACCTCGATCCTCTAAATGCCATTTTGTGAACTTCCGGTCTTAAAAGCAATCCAAGAGACTATTTACTGTTATGCTTCTTTGTAAAACAGCCCCATTTTGAAGTATGCAGACATTGTAGAATGATTGATTTCCGATTTTAGATTGCACTGTGTATAGACCCGCCCAACAGTTGTTATTCCCTGTATCCTTGTTCTATTATGTGCTGACGTTCTTGCTGCAGCCAACTAATTTCTACAAATAAACCGTTTTCACGCTGATTGTGACCTCCTCGGGCTAATGCAACACTCAAGTGACTTCTCGTTGAAACAGATGAAAGGTCTGCTTTTTACATCTGCTGCAAGGCATTATTCCTGCGTTTAGAAGCGCTTAAATTCATCAAGGGGTTTGAGAATTCCCCTGTCACGACAACACTCAGAGAACTCTACTGAAAAGTTTACATTTTGTACCGACACTAACCGATTTCGCTTTTCAGCTTTTTAGTTTTCACTAAACGACTGTCCGTTTTAAAGTCTTACTAACACAAATCTAGAACAATTTGGTGTTGTGAAATTCCCTAGCGTTTCAACGCAATCCGCACGGTTCGAGTAAGGTGGTGCATTAAGCACTTCTTCTTGCACTGGCAGTCGTGCGCGAGAGCACGTTCAGACTTGGATTGCGCTTCCGACCTTGAAGGCCTCAACACCAAGCAATTGATTAGTCGAGCAGAACCCAACGACAACCAGAATTCATGGTATTTTCATGCGTCAGGACAGGAAATCACCGCAATCCCAAGACGTTTTGCATAACGAGTGTAAATTAATTTTTTAGTGAAAAATTGCATGAAATCTACGACCTTAAACAGCTTAAATTGCAGCCAGACAGCTAAAGTGAAAGTGCGGACGTGTGTCTGAACTTCGGGGCTTGGCCAAAGTGTGGCCAGGTTGAGCTGCTCCCCTGTGTGGGTTCTCCCCTACACAGCCTTTATGTCTGTAAGGTTTTCGCCCCGAAAGTTGATCCCGTCAACGTGCTCTATTGAGTCATTGCAAGATTAATGAAGAAGGATCTTAAGCTAATTGGGAGTTTGTGGTTATCTAAGATAGTTCACGGTCAGCAGTAGGTTGAGTTCGGAATTAATTTAACTTTAACATCCCTATTACTGCTCGTACGTCAAAAGTAGATACAATAGTGTTATTAATGCAATTGCCAAACTGAAGCCCTAAGTCTACACTACACTCCGGTGTCCCGGAGCAGATCGGACAAGACAGCATCTGCAACACGAATCTGGCACTGACCTCAGATGCGCGCAGGTGCAGGCGTTTGTTTGGGGCAGAGGGTGGAGAGGGCAGAAATCGAGTGAGGAAAATGCAGCGGGAAGTTAAATGACTTCCCAGACGCGCTACGTGTTTGCGTGTCGCTGGTAGCGGTGGTGGTGGTGATGCTGGTGTTGGTGAACCTTCCAAAGTCATAAAAATTAACCCCGACTAAACACTGGAGGAGGCGCGTGACTCACGACGGGACGAGTTTGTGCACAGCCAAAACCGGTGACACCGGCTGACTGATTTATCACTCCAGTGCTGCCATCGAGGATTTCCGATTCTAACGGACGTACAACTGAAGTGTAGCACTCGGCGAGAAAAAGTCACTTTTTGCACTGCGAAGAATTTCACCAAAAGGTTGTTTAGAATGGCCTATGCAAAGTGGTTTCATGAACGCAGCAATGTTATTGGAAAGGTCTTTCGACTGAGCTAAAAGATCCACCCGGCACACATTCTGTCCCATTTCATGAAGTCACACTAAGTTCTCGCACTAGTGTTTGCAGCAACTAACTTTGGAGCAGAACCAAAGTAGGGACTTACAAGAAGCAGACCTACTAGAATACGGGGAATCGCGAGAGGGCGACACTTCATGTGGGATCACGAAACGTATCAGTCACTGCCTTGACTCTTCGAAGAGAGAGATTCGCCATCCAGTCAAGGCGTGAGTGCACCTCACCTCTGACATTTGAGGCACAGGTTCATCTCCATTCTGACGTGAGCACTCTCCATGTATTAGGGAATGTTCTGTAAAAAAATGCTAACCGTGACGCAACAACGCTTTTTGGTGATCACGTTGTGTTATGTGCGAATAATCATGTAATCAACCTGGCTATGAGAGAATGTTTGAGAATTACCATGATGTTAGTCGGATAACATTTAGAATCACCACCACAAACCCCAGAAATTATAACCTAGTTGCAGGTACAAATTTATGCATTTTACTAACGACTGGTATTCATTGACGTATACCTTTACTGCAACTACGCCAGAATTGAATAAGTCCACGTCCATTTAATGAAAATAATATGCATTAAGAGAATTAAAGTGACAAAACGACTTGGTAAGCCGCGAAGTTGATTTCCATGTAAGTTCCACTTTGGTTTCGGAATACGCAAGTTTTGCCTCTGAGAACATTTCGTGTCAGTTGATTTTTCCCCGAATTTTATGATTTTATGTATCAAAGACTCCCCTCCGCTTCCTGGCAAAAAATGTTATTGTGTCACACAACTGAAGTCCTAATCGTACGGTCATGGAGTTTAAAGTTCGTTGAAACAAAAGCACTCCAAGGGTCCAGAAAAAGCATGAATTTTATGTAGTGGTGATAACATTTAACTTGGTAGAGTTCTGCAATGGTCTACAGAAAATTATTCCCAGTGCTTTGTGGTCAGACAGGGATGGTGAGAGTGCTCGTCATTGCTCTTTATCAAAATGCAGTCCACAATGGCTTCCGACAGCTTTGCCACCCACGACTACTGAAGGGTCAAGCGCGGTGACCACTAGCGAAGATGCGTCTGTCGAGGCCCAAATACCAGTGCTGGTAAGTCGACCGCTCATTCACTCACGCACACACGTACCCCTACATGCTTTTTCAAAGGCTGAGAATCTCGAGTTTGGGTGGTTTGATTGACAGATTTCATCATCAAACCATCTCATTCACTCCTAGTGTGTGTAGGCTAGCACGTAGAATACATTGGTGGTTGCCCCCATTGGTGTAATGCCTCAAATCCAAGGAGAAAACATCGAAAAACTGACATTATTTCTCTCACGCCTGCTCCATTTGGAATAAGAGAGACGCAAGCTGCAATCCCCAATCCACTTTGCCAAGAGTTCTGTCTTTCCAAAGGCCAATTTCATGTGCTGCTCCTCGGTGAGTCGTGAGGTTATTATAAAATCTTGATATTAATCAGCAGCTGTTTGCAAGTTTTATTTAAGTGGTATACTGAATTATAAAATTTCTGCTGAGTTATAGAACATGCATGATCTGTAAGAACCAATGCTTGTAGAAATTGCATTTCTTGTATCACCTCTTGTTAAAAGTTGTTCCTTCAGGGCACCCATTTCAGGCATTTCAATTTGGTTTAAAACTCAGTGATATCGGCAGCATCACAATGAAATCAATAAGAACAAGGTCCTAGTACAATCGTGTTTAATTTCACTATCGCTAAAAATCAATCACATTTCTATTAAATCAATTTAGAAAAATAAGCGCTCGTGGGTTGTGTGAAAGGTAGAGAGTAACGTTAGGAAAACAGGCATTGACACGTGCAACCGCCATTGATACTTCGTGCTACCTTTGTTATTTTGCGTAATTTGCAATTTTTTGGCGACAGAATGGGGTCCACATTTGTAGCATTACATCGTTTGGAAGCACCTTGCAGTGCTTATTTTCATTCACACTGAATGACTGAGCATTTGCGCTATTGCATCTTCCACAAGGTTGAACATACGCCAGGCAATGTAAGATGACTCGTTTCAGTCTCTTCTAGAACTCACTTAAAAGCCACACGTATTAAATATATAAGAGGTCATGGCTACTTAATTCACACAAAAACTCAGGCAATTACAACCTCCTAACTTACCTGAAAGCACTAGCGAATTTGTGCTTAAGCTGTTTACGCTTAGACTAGCCCCTGTGACAGCAGTGTAGAGACAGACTAGCGGCATTAATACACGGAACTTCTTTGTTGTCACGCCAACCTTTGATAAAATCTTACGCTGGTTTCGCGGTTTAATTAATCGACAAATTTGCAGAGCTTCAACAAGGCAATGCAATCTGGCCTTAAATTACCGGAATAGAGAAAGTAGGCAAAGTTATGAGTTGGTGTTTTGCAATTTCCTGCCAAGTTACTTATTTCTACTATGAATTTATTTTGCAGAACAATTTAGTTAATTAATGTTTGATAATGCGTCCTAAAAAGTTCAAATGAGTTCTCAAACGTAGGAAAACTTCGATCCAATGAGTGCAAACATGCCCCGTGGCAGTTGGTTTTGTCGTAAATTTTCCATCCACACACAAACCAGCTACTCACTGCGTTGGACCCGGGCTTCTCTGTGTCGCGGCTCATTGATCACGTCCCAAATTTGAAATCAAGTCTGGGTGATGGCCCTAGTGGAAAGGGATCTCGTATCGATGAGTTAAGCCGTATGTTTCGATCTCAATGGACAGCCGCTGCGGAAATGTGACTGAACCAACCGTTAAAGCTGAACGGTAACCCTATAGTCGGGCTTTCTGACGTTCATCTGCATATGTAGCTGCGTGGTAAAAGTGTTCTTGGAAGGTTCAGCTCAAAAAAACGGAAAACCCCTCATTGCTGATAACTGAATTTCGTGTTTACGAAATTCTGATGTGACACTCGAGGTACAAGAAAGCGTGATTTGGCGAATATTAACTGCCTTGAGCTAGTGTGTCTCAAGGAAGGTAACTTTCCAGTGCTTGGAAGGGCCTTAAGGAACTCGACTCATCCCATTGCACAATGCTGTAGTGAATTTAAACTGACAGCACAAAACTACCCACGCGGAAGATAACCACTATCATGTGACCTCGGTAACGATGCCTATGCCATTGCTCATGGCCACGGCAAAACACCGGGATGTTGTCGTCAACACTTAATTTCTGCTTCCTCTTGTTGCAGAAAACCAAATGGTTATAGTGCGATTTTTTCCCACAGACCTCCACTACCGCCTTACGTAAATGGGAGCCAGCCTCGTGAGTTAGCGTAGATGCAAAATTCGTTTAAAACTGCACAGCTGTTCTGTTCCACTTTCGTCGTTGTACCTAGGGGCTTGGATGTCTTGAAAAGTTTTGGCGTCACAGCATAACTACTGTCTATTTGTCTATTTATTTGTGAGTATGCTTCATTCGGTTCATCCTACTTTAGTCTTACATTGACACGTCTGTGTATTGAACACAATCCGCAAATGTCTTAACTCGTAGGGATAGAGTGAGCCTTGGGGAATCAACCACGACCTTCCCTGATTCCTAATATTTGGCCAATTAATCTGACTTGATTGACGGTTAGCGACCAATCAAAAGGCTAATAAACCAGCGCGTGGATTAATCTAGAGTGGCTTGGCGGAGGGCAAATCCCACCATTTTACGATGTCTAACGAGACGATGCTTGGCTCTGCTAAGATGATTACATTTTTTACACTTTTCCCACCTCACTAGTGATGAGAACGTGATTTAGTCATTGATTTGCAATCTAATTTAAGAAATGAAGGATCACCACCGTAAGTGGGCAGCTTTAGATAATTGTGGCTTATTTCTGGACGCACGAGTTCAACTGCTCGGTTTTTCTTACCAGAATCGCACTGGGTGTCAAGTAGACGTTGACGCCTAGTCCCAGGTTTTCCCATCTTATGCATCGGTATTCCTTAGCGATGACGTACATCGACGATAACTATAAATACCTATTTTTAAAAAACCCTGGCGCACGTTTTACAGCCTTAATGAAACCATACGTTAGCACATGTTATTGAAGAAAGCAGAGGTAATTGATTTATTATACAGTAATTATCTTGAGTAATGTTTGCATTACGCTATCAAGCATCTTCGTGTTACTTGTTCACCCAACTTTCGTACGATGAACAAAGTTAACTTCAAATGATTTGGGACATAAAAAAGAAACTCATCTAAACAACTGCACACCAGGCCACAGAAAATGCTCCTCGCCCAGGAGTGGTTTAGCCTTATTTCGGATCGTGTCAGTCAAAATTGTCAGTAAAAAAAGCCTTTCTGGGCAAAATGTTATGGTACGGCACAGCTTTACCATGATGACGCTGTCCCCTGCCGTCGGGGCCATAAGCTTCGCTGAAGGAAGTGAATATCAACGTCTAGGTGATTGGCCGGTGGAGTAATTTATTGGTGATTTTCGCACGTTGGCTACCTACGTTAAAGCCAAGGACAGGAGTTTTTCCACCCAAGTACGAGATCCCAAGCCCTTTACTGTGGTCCAAAGGCGACATCTTGTCAGTAAGGGGCACTGCAGTCAAGTTTACCACAGTTACACAAAATACTTTACGTGTCACTTCTGGATCCAATTTCATTGTTGACATATACTGATTTATGCTTCTGGCTGGAAACTGGAATCATCCTAGCAGTGACCTTAGCAAGTCCCGAAACTCGAACGATCATTTCTACTGGTGGATTGAATGGACCAATTTGAGGTGTGAGTTTGTACATTCATCAGGGTAGTAGATTTAATACGCAAACCTTAAGTACATATAACACCAAATGCGTATTCTAGGGATAAATAGTTAGGTACATAAAAGCAGTTCCTCTAACCTCAAGCGCACGCAGTTCACCTTAGGCCACAACATGATTGGATATTTTACCACCTCCCCACGTGTACTCCGCCAATCGGTTACAGACAGCCTGACCCACCAGCCAATCAGAAGCTTGCAGTTAGCGCAAATCCTCAAGCCTGCGCGTGTCAAGACGTCAACCAATAGAGAAGGGCGGGGGAAGCTCTCCATTGAAATTTATGCCCCATCTTTCCCTGTGCGGTACGATTTTACGACCGTTCTGCGTTTGTCCACCCTCAACTGACTGCCTTCATTAAAAAGTCATTACAACACAACACGCGTGTGTGTGCATGAGCAGGCCATAATAAACCCCACAGCGGCAATAATAAACCTCCACGAAGGATAGTTTTACGACCGATCAATCTCCTTCCAGAGACATAAATTTGCCTACAAAATGTCACAGCTGTCAGAAGACGCTACAAACAATGCTGGACGGAAGCAGAATGGAATACAAATCCATCCATCAAGCGTATGGACTCCTCCAGTCAGTGAGGCTGGACGAGGATCTGCCAACATCACCAATACCTACTATGCTAACTCTGAACCAGTACTTCAACCATCAATCGATTATTCGGAAAGCCAGTTTCCAATGCCACCTTTGCTTTCCTCATCGACTTCCACTGAAGAATTCCAGGGAACTAAGCTGTCGCATCAGTTCCTCTTCACGTCTCACCTTCCCCCCTTGGACCCAATGCGGTACCTGCCGCCGCCGCCGCCACTCCCACCTCTTCCTCCGACTCATACTTTCCCGGACTGTCCCAGCCCTCGTGGCTTCCTAAACCTGCCGAACCCTCCTGATCTGAATTTAAGTAGCATCGGTTATCCATGTCCACCTCCACCCCCAACTCAAAGCAACGGAACCGACCCCAGTGCAGCTGCTAGTGATGATGGCGATTACGTCGGAGATGGCGATAGCAATTCCGGTGGTGAGTCTTTCATTCACTTACCAATTCATCCTATTAACAGAACACTATATTGCACTCAACATTAGTTCGCTTCGACATTACTTTAAACGCATGGCTAGAGATAGTTCGATACTTCACTGGCAATAAGTGTCAATATTCCCTGCAAACGTGTGTTGCTGCTTATTTGGCCTTGTGCAAGTCAGCATGTCAACGCTCACTGAATAACCCAAATACCATGAATGAGCACAAGGCGACCACTGTCCCCAAATCCTGCTTCCTGTCGTGAATTCAACTGCACCCCTAAGAGTAAGGCTTCCTAGCACTGTAATTCGGCGATCATCGTGCCTACCCCAATCTAGGCATCTAACTGGCCTTTCCTCGAACAGCAGCCTCCGAAACATTGGCAGTGTTCGAAGGTATATTTCAGCTAATTGCAACCTCGACCACGTGTAGGCCTGACACTTGAGCATTTTGGAATATAAACAGGTACACCAACTTTACGCATCGTGAGGGGACAAAACGAAATTTGTTGGAAGAGTTTTATTATATTTCATTTGTCTAGCATAATTGCATGCTGTGAAGTTTTTACAAAGGCCGAAAATGGATAGTAACGCTACCGAAATTTGGTCCAATGCTCGAATCTTCAAAACATTCGGCCACCTAAGTATGACCGACTCGAATTGGTATTCTGGGTGGAGCAGGCGAAAGAACCGATAAATGCACTTGACGGAAGCTAAGTATTTAAATTAAATTAAACTAATTTAAGCTATGTTGAGAGCATTAAAATTACGGTATTTAAAACAGAGTATATCAATGAATTAAAAAATATTAGAGTGATACGCTACAGGCTCTTCTTTCGTGATGCCGAAGTCTCTATCCAGCAGTCCAAAAAATCTGCAAATTTACACGAGGCATTTTACTACCTCAACCAGTAACAGGACAGTTGTCAAAAACCTAGCCATTTCGCCCAATTATCTACTCTACTTCCTTGCATTCACGACCAAGTTTGCTTTTTTTAACTTTTGAATACACGGTAGCCTTGATTAAAATCTAAAAACGTCTCTCCTAATTCAGACGGAAAATCAAGAAAGAAGAGAAAACCTTACACAAGGTATCAAACAATGCTCCTGGAGAATGAATTCCTTAACAATGCCTACATCACTAGGCAAAAGCGATGGGAGATCTCGTGTAAACTGCATCTAACTGAACGGCAGGTATGAACATTTTTTGCTTAATTTTTCTGTATATAGAGAAAGAGTTGATTCCCTGGCACAGTAACATATTAATTTATACTAATAAGCACATGATGTATCAAGGCTACTAGAATAGATGATGGGATAAGAGGACTGGAAACCACTGTTCATACGAGCGTTTCTGTCCATCATCGCAGTGTACTTACAAAAACGAGCTGACTCTGGTATTCCGTTGGTGTGGAGATGCGTATCGCAGCATTTTGTTTCTATGGCTCCAGTTAACTCAACTGAAAGAGTGGCGAATTCCACTCGAGGCCCCCCCAGTCCCTAGCCCCATATTCTCGCGTGCCCACAAAGTCGTCAGCTGTTACTTCGGGTAGGTTGGATTGGGGGGAGAGAGGACGACGGTAAAAGATTAGTTCCCATGCCCACGTACCGCCACCCACTTATCACACGCACGAAATCGTTCAATTAGCTAAACACAGTTCCTAGTTTAGATTGGCAATGGATGGCTAGAGGAGATGAAATAAATTTTATAATATAGTGTGGCCTGTAGTCATCACTAAGCTGACTGTTTCGCAGGGAACGATACACGGTCAGGAATAGCCGATTCTTGCTAGCTAAGGCACAATCTAACAAAATGTGATTAGTATAGTAGTAGGAAGGTCCGCTTGTTCGAACTGGTTGTTAGCCTTTAAAATAGGTAGTGAATTGCCGTTTTGAAGACACCGTTTGTCACTTAATTTGCCAAACAGGCCATTTAATTCCCTTTCAACCAATCAGTTATAAACAAAGGACAGATTTAATCACCTGTGATCGCGTTTGTCAACATGGTTTGGCAAGGTATCAGTTCATTAAACACCTGTTTTCGTCCGCTGCACCGCCCCCCCCTCTCTCCTCATGCGAGATTCACCACGAGGCCCTTACATTGCTCAATGAATGGGGGTTAATCAGGGTAATGGTTTGAAACAATAACAGATGTTAGTTATTTAAAAATAGCTACACTAACAGTTGGGTCTCAACGGGAGTAGTTAACCAACTACAGCATGGAGTTAACCGCTAACTGATATTACGATGTCCCCAAAAAAGTCACAACGTCCTTGCGACACATCCAAGTCTTCTCAAAAGACACATCTCTTGCCCTACTAACAAATGCATTGTGTTCTTGTCATAAAAATCGAAGCTGCGTATTTGTGTCAAGTTGACAGTAATGAGTTCATGGATAGTCTGAAACCGCGATTTGAGGGATTTTGCACCTGATGTTGAAAGGTTCCCAATCACCCAGACACGGTCTTTTATTTCATAACCTATCTATCGATGGAGGTGTGTGGTTTAGTTTTATTGCTTGATCCCCATTGAACGATGTCTAACTTCCCCAAACCATCACACAACGATCTGGCACCAAAGGCGAGTCAGACCACGTGCTCAGGACGGAAACATGGGATCACGTAGCTGTCCCCCCACAAACTCCCATGAGGTTTATCGCGATATCTGAGCAGTAGTCACGTAGACTGGTGGTGAACGCTTAGACCCCCTACCTCACCTCCAAGCTGAACCCGCATAGCCCGAGCGACTCCACCCAGCCCCATAAAAGAGTAATCAAAGCTCTTCGGGAAATCGATTGCCTAAAGAAAAAATGTGCTAAAATTGAGGATGCTGGCATCAGAATTTGTAGCTCCATTAAGAATAATTTAGCAGTAGGGTAGGAAGTGCATTTGTTAGGTAATTTTGTACTAATTAATGTTGGATTTGAGATTGTAGTACTGAATCTCTTCATTAAAAGTGAAGCCAAATTTTGTCTCGCATATCTAGGTGAAAGTGTGGTTCCAAAACCGTCGGATGAAGAAAAAGAAGATTCAGTCCCGTGTCTCCGGTTCTTCCACTTCAACAGCATTAGCAGACAGTGGAAAGTCCTCCCATCCTGAAGACAGCGAAGACGAAGGTGAATGTACAGACCAATCAGCCCACCATCACCTCCCTACCCACGTCTCTGCTGAGCCTCCGCAGTCACCAGCCGAGCAGCCGCCACCAATCAGCTACCCAACGCCTCTTTCATCTAAACCAGGCGAGTTCTACTTTCCTCGTGGATATGTCCCACGTCCCTCGCCGGCTCCATCATCCGCTACCTCCTTTGGAATGCACCCAAATCCCGTTGAGATGTTCCGGGACATCAACACAGGATACCCAACATCCACACCCGATCTCTACCATCTTCCTTCCAGTCATTTCCTGCCCCCGACTTCACAGCACGGCTGGTTTAATCAGGAGACGAATGTGGGCAGCGAAAACAGTAGTCCCTCGATGGCCGGTCTGCTAGGTGGCGCAAGTGATCCGGGGAGCTGTTTGTCACAGCTCGGAAGTCCGCCAAAACCCATGATCGACGGACTGGGGAGGTACGCCGCGGCTGTATCGAATTTCTTCAATTCGGGAGACAATGCGGCTGAGTCAGCACCAAGTGCTTACCCGGTGAACTCGTTAAGTGCATACCTTACGCAGGGCGGGTATCCTCCGTCATCGTTTTACGATCCCGGTCAAGCAGCTCCGCAGGCAAACAATGGCTATTCGCACCATTTCCCCCTTGTGCCATCGACGTTGGGAGGCGACGGGGAGACACAATTCGGGTATGACACATACACCTCTGCATTTGCGCCACCGGTACAAGCAAGTGCTCAAAACAATGGAATTGCCTCTTTTTCCTCCGCATCCGCTGGGGAACCAAGTGTAAAGATTGCGTGAACAAACTCTTCATCCTCCGTTCCTACTCCGTCCCTGTATAAAGTAGAATGCAACCCTTGTCCTCAAGTTATGGATCATCTAATGTGTGTATCGTCGGCTCCGTGTACAATTTGTCAATTTGTAATAATTATTAAATCACACTTTATGAACGAAAAATTGCAACACCTTTTTCAGTTTGAAATAATTTCAATAACTTCTAAAAGCTGCAGTTCTAGTCTTATTAGGAGATATACTTGAGATACACTCAAGCATATTTAGCAAATGAAGGAGTCGTAATGGGAAGTAAGCGTTGTAAGCCAAATGCATTTAGATCCTGCTTTGACAACCACTATACGACTGCGCACGTGGAAATAACAAAAGCGGTTAACAAATGGACTAATGACGATGATTTTCATCCATGTACCTGTGCACTATATTAAAACGGATCTATTTACAAATGCGCAAGTGTCAGGCCTACACGTGGTCGAGGCTGCAATTAGCTGAAATGTACCTTCGAACGCTGCCAATGTTTCGGAGGCTGCTGTTCGAGGAAAGGCCAGTTAGATGCCTAGATTGGGGTAGGCACGATGATCGCCGAAT